AGACGGCATTCCGTACGCGGTATGGCCATTATGAGTTTCTGGTGATGCCATTTGGGCTCACCAATGCACTGGCAGTGTTTATGGACTTGATGAACCGGATATTCCAGGAATTCTTAGATCATTTTGTGGTCGTTTTCGTGGACGACATTCGGATTTATTCTCCTTCGGAGGAGGAGCACGAGGAATACTTGAGAGTGCTGCTTGAGTTACTTAGAGCCCATAGGCTATATATATATATATATTTAGGCAGGGATTGTTTTATTGAGCAATGGTGTTGTGCCCAATAAACTACAATTGGTTCTTATTTTTTTTGGGCCTTTGAACGAAGATTTTTTTTAGGGGAGTTATGGATCAGTCCTTTAAACTTGATTTAATTCCCATGAAGTCCTGACCCAAAATAATTTAGCACATCTTTCCATTTTACCCTTGACATTCAGCCCACACGTAGAAATCACTCAACCTCACCACACACACACACTCTCTGTCTCTCTCTCTCTCAACTGGCCATCGAAAACCACTTCTGACCTTTGACAATATTTTTTCTTAGCCATTTTCCATTTCCACCATATCAATACCGCCATGCTGGCAACAAGAGAAAAAGAGAAGAATAGGGATGAAGAAAATGAATGAGGAGGATGAGGAGTCATATTCAGTCATAAATTTAGTCTTCATAATCACAAATCAATATAAGATTCAAAGACATACTCAGTGATAAATTTATCACTAACTGTTTGTTAAGAAATTACAAAAAGAAAATCTCATCATCATCGTCACAAATTAACACAAGATTGAAAGACATATTCAATAATAAATTTAGCAGTGATAAACATATTCACTGATAAATTTTTCACTAGTTGTTTGTTAAAAGATTATAAAAGAAAAAATTCCCGTTGTCGTCATCACAAATCAACACAAAATTCAAAAACATATATCAGTGATACATTTATTACTGATACAACAGATTTGGTTTAAGAGAAATAAAAAGAGAGAAAGGGAGTGAGGAAGAGAGATGTGAGATCTGGAGAATCAATGTTTTTTGTAGTCATTTGAAGTTGATTTCACCGTAGAAACAACCAGGTCGGTATAAATCTAGGACGTTGGAGTGTAGATCGGCGATGGCGAAGGTGGTTAGTAAACAGTGGCGGTTGATCGGAGATGGTGAAGTATAGATCAGCGACAGTGGAGATGGTTGGTGAACAATGGTGGTGGTAGTGGCTGGGGGGGGGGGGGGGGGGGGGGACCGGTGGAGGTGGCGGTACCGGTGGAGGTGGCAGCGGTTAGTAACGGATGACGATGGTGGTTGCAGGTGGATAGCCATTACCATAACTACAATGGTGGTATTTTCTAGAGAGAGAGAGAGAGAGAGAGAGAGAGAGAGAGAGATATGAGAAAGAAAAAGAGTTTTGGAAAAATGATCAAGAGAGAAATTAATACAAATTGAAAAAAATGAGTAATAAATATTATAAACAATTAAAGATTTAGAAAGTGTTTGAGATGATTTAAATAATGATTTTTACTAGGTGGTAGCAGGAGCAAAATCAGGATAAAAAAATATAACAAGACTTCTTGGTGCACGAGATAGAAACTTAGGACTTAATGGGTAATAGATTCAATTATTAGGATCAGCTGGTAAAAATCCCTTTTAGCTTTTGACTATTTTAGTAGGCTAAAATATTTGTGTTTGAAAAAATTGTTAGATTTTTTTTTATAATTGGATGTGATGTTTGTGAGAGAAAAAATAAAATGATTATGAGTTTGATGTGATATTTTATTTTATTGACTATTTTAACCTATTTTATTTTTTTACAAATTTTAACCTAAAAAAAAAAAAAACTTTACCAAACAAGGCCTTTAATTCGGGGGCCAACGAAGTGGCCTTGGTGCCCTTTACTTGGGCCTGTCCTGTGTAATCATAATATAGAAAAATTCTTGAAATATTTAATTTATTACTCTTAAATTCACTTTTAATGATATAATTGATAAGGAAAAAAACTTCATACCCCCACTGGGGGTCGACCCCCAGTGAGGTGTCGGCCCCGGATTGGTCCAAAAAAAAAAAACTGTTTTTTTTTTTTTTTTTTTTAAAGTTTTCAGCCAGTGGGGGCGCGCCACGTCACTGGGGGCGCGACCCCCACTGGGGGTATGCAGCATGTTTGTCAAACATTCTATTATATAAGGTCTAATTTCAATACCACATTATTAGGGGCCATAATTAAGAGAGATAAATTAAGGGATTTATCATTGTTGCCATATATAACCACTGAATACTCGTGAGACTCATTTGACACCTATTGTAATAAAGGAAATTGATTAAAAAGTCATATTAGGAAGATGGGTGTATCAATAAATCTTTTTTTATTTTTTACTGTATTAAAAAGTCCTATTCACTTTGAATTGTTATAGTAAAGTCTTATTTTTTAATGTTTTTAACAGCTTTTTAAAAAAAACTGTCACTAATTGTTAGTTTTTTGTAACAGTTAAAAAATTCGTTACCAAAAAATATCACTAAATGTTAATTTTTAGTGACAAATTTAAAAAAATGTTACTAACACATGTGGGACTTTTAATCTATAGAAACACTTGTGGGATGCACAGGTTTTTATCCCTTGTAACAATGGTTATGCATATGCCATCATGTTATAAATAAAAAGTGGTATTAAAAAAATTACTTATTTGGTTTAGTCTTTAATCAATTTTTGGGAGTTCAAAATCTAAAATTTATTTGGTTTACAATTTTTTAAAACTGTTTTCAATCATTTTTTTGTCTCTTTTCTTCTTCTCTCACATTTACACATCAATCAATCACATTTTTTCCCTTCTCTCTCATTTTTTCACATTTTACGCATCAATTAATCATTTTTTTTTCTCGGAGACATCTATTACAAAAAATTATAAATCATCCCAAACTACAAAACTCCAATTACAAAACTATTTTTAAAATACATAATCAAACAAATTTTCAAATTTTAAAAACTCTTTTAAAAACTTATCTTTCAAAATTGATTTCAAAATCAAACCAAACAGACACTAAGTGTAACATTTTTGGAAAGTTGGATTTTTAGTCAAAAAAATTACTATAAATTATTAAATTAATCTCTTTATTTTTTTTACATGTTTTTTTCGTAAAGACTTATAAAATTACATAATAAGTTAATTCTAAACGAGCCCTTTATGGGATGGGATTATCTCTAGTCTTGTTGGGTTCCATGGAACCCACCATAGGTCCCGTTTTGACGATTTGAACCATTCATTTTATTGAATCATATGCATAAATCATTCATTAAAAGAAAATTAGATTGATATGATAATCAGAGTCATATTATTTCATTGTCTCTATCTTCAAAAAACATGAACGATAAATATGATTTTAAAAATAGACTATTTATATTATTAAAGACAAATTTAATAAAGTCATATATCTATTGTAATTGAATTTCTTATAAATAATTTATGCATAAAGTTCGATAAAATAAATTATTTAAATTATCGAAATATGACTCGTGGTTGTGCTCTGTGACGAGAGTTTATATCTCCCTACTTCTGTTACGTACATGCATATGGATTTATTTAAAATTAATTACCTAAAAGTCCTATTTACAAATGTTATGGTAGCTTAGGTTTTATTTAAGATTTTTTGAACCAGTAAGTCCTATTTAGTAAAATTGAGAATATTAACAGTTTTTATCAATTTTTAAAATTAAGAAAATTATCAATTTTGCATAGTAATATTTGAAATAATTGTTTCACTAATTGATGAAAAAAAACAGAGCATGAGAATAAACATTTTGCTGTTCTACTTATTGGTTTCATTCAACTATCTAATAAAATCGAGAACATTAACAGTTTTTTCCAGTTTTAAAACTAAGAACATTATCAGTTTTTTTATTTTTATTTTTATTTTTTTAGTTTTGCACATCAATGTTCTATCATCATGTATAGATACAAAATTTTAATTTTGCACAAAAAAATAATTCAATTTTTTCAAAAAAAATTACTTTTTTTTTTTGCACATAATTTTTTTTAGTTTTTTCAATTTGAAAGTTGATGTTTTAAAGTTTAAAAATTAAAATAAATGTCAAATCATCATGTTATTTTATAGATAATCATAAATGATAAACAATTATTGTTTGAAGGGTAATTCTGACTATTAAAAATTTAATGGAACTTAAAGGTCTAAAAAATCTTAGTTAAGACTTAATGGAATATAATTTCATAAATTAGAACTTGTATGGAAATGTCCTATTTATTTATTTATTTATTTTGGGAGGATGGTTTATATTCATAGATAGATCTATTCAATATTGAAAACAATATTATAGCCTTTACCCAATGAATTTACTTCTTTTATTTATGTTTTTTTTTTTAATTGGCCTTTGTATGAGGTGATTTTTTCCCCAAACGTTTAGGTAATTGAAAGAAATTTTTTTTGTCTGTTATTGATTAACAATTTTTTAGCCTTTATAATTGGTGCTTGCCCCTATCTAAAAATAATAATAATAAAATAATAGGTGGTTGTAAATATATATATATATATATACTAGTAACCCCATGAATTATTTTGGACCTCCCATTTCTTTGGATCGTCACTTATAAATTTTGAAACCCTTAAAATTTCTTCCCCCCTCCTCCAAAAAAAAAAAAAAATACTAAAATTATCCCGAACATCACTTATTCATGTTTGGACCTGCATTCTTGAACATCACTTATTTGTTCGGGATAAGTAATGTTCTGGCCTGTATTCCCGAACTTGAAAAAATGAAAACTTCTGCAAGCGTTAACAATTTTGACCGTTCAATGTGTTAAGAAATTTCCATGTTGACCGTTCAATGTAAGTAATCAAATGATTGCCACCGTTACCACCGGAATTTTGCTGCCAAATGGTTTTCAAGGTTTTGAGTGTGGGTAAGTTTTGAAGGTGGGATTTGGGAAAGATGGATGGGTGGTGATAGAGGTGAATGCTCTCATAAACCCTAATTCATGAAGTAGTGGGTGTGTAGTGTTAGGTTTTATTCTTGGCAACCCCGTTTGACAAAACTCCTTTCAGTTGTATTTATTTTCGCACATTTATTTTAGTGAGGCTATGAGTGTTTAGATGCGAATCCAACCCGAATTATGCCTTTCAGAGAAGTTTGTGATGCTAATGCTTTCAAGATTGCCACTTTGCTGATTTTGATGGGGATCGAGCTGCCCGGTCAGCTCGCGGGGGTCAAGGGGGCAGCGCCCCTTGGCGGGTCCGGGGCAGCGCCACGGCGGGGTCGAGGGGCAGCGCCCTCGAAGCAAAATGCAAAAATGCATTCCAAGTTGCCTGTCCGTTCGAGCGGACATTACCCCGCTCGAGCGGAGAATGCTGGGTCTCAGAAGTTTGTTAGGTCTGTAAAAATACTGGAAGGTGTAATTTCGCGCTCGAGCAGGTTCTCCAGCGCTCGAGCGGACCTCTGTTATATCACGCACATATTTTGCTGAAGACGCTCGAGCGGGTTGTTGGGCGCTCGAGTGGAGATCGCGGGACAGATTCTATAAATTCGCATGTTGGGTCAGATTTTAGGATTACTACTCCAGATCTTCTTTTTGGGTTCTAGGGTTTATATCTGGGGATAATTTGTGAGTTTTCTTTGATGTTTTGATTGAGTATTCAACTCATGTTTTAAAGAGTATACATCAAAGGTTTTGTTTGTTCTATAAAAGAGAGAGTTGTTCTTCGATGGATTCTGAAGAATTCGAGCCTGAAGCTTTGGTGGATTCCGGGGTGGCTCATCGTAAAGACAATTCCGAGGTTAAGACGGGTTGGAAGAGGCACATAGAGGTTGGTTCAATTAGGCATGGAATCGCTAGATAATTGAGAGTATACCTGTGTAATTCCTTTAAATCTTCTTAGTGGATTGTTTTGTGGCTGCGCTCGTGGTTTTTTAATCACAGTTGGAGGTGTCCAATTGTGTTTTTTTCACATTAAAATCGTTGTGTTGATTTATCTTGATTCTGCTTTGATTGGATGTTATAGACAGCTTAAAATTGTGTACATAATCACAAATCAATTATCTAGAGGGATCTCTACATTTTCAATTGGTACAGAGCAGGTTGTTCTATTTTTTAAATTTTTTTTTTTTTTTAGAATAGATTTTGTTGATTTGTGTAATGGAATACAATTCGTGAAGGAAATTCTATGGTTCGACCCACCCCTACTTGACGGATCTAATTATTCTTTTTGGAAAGCTCATGATAGAGTCTTTTTTAAAACTATTGATGAAAAAGTTTGCAATCCGCTCATGAATGGTGGACTGAACCAACAATTACTGTTGTATGGAGTTACAATTCTTCCAAACCAATTTGATAAAGTGGGACACAATTGATTACCAAAAATAGTAGCTAGATGATAGTAAAGCAGT